TGTAGATTTAATTACAAGTCTTAAGACTGGCTCAGAGGCACAAAAACTAACTTTTGTACAACCTGCTATTCATTTTCTATATTGCCATATATATAATAATGATGAAGTTCAATATGACCTCTGTTGTTCATATGAGTCTTGACACCTGCTTTTTAAATTAACTTTAATTAAAATAATATGAACAATGAAATTCAATATCCTTCTATTTTGCTGATAATTATGTATGTTACTGATGCATTAGCTTTGGTATTTGCTATATATTGTATTCAATTTATATATTTTCTTCATCTGTTCATAACAGATATTTATTTACATTGATTATAGAATCATTCTCAAGGAAAGTATTACATGCGTGACTATCAGACTTATAAATCTTCCACTTATTATTTATAGACATTAAAATTGAGGTTCCATGTTTATTTAAATCCCAGATGCTTCTATAATAAATTACATGCTAACAAGCTCAATACTGATTCCTCTTCTAATTCCTCTTTGGAGAAGAATTGTGAAGTATGTGATTAAAAACCACTCTCAATCTCACCACATGTGGGGATTGTATTTATTTATGTCTGAAATCCATACACATATACAATTTAAAATGTATATTAAAGACAAGGAGGCGCAGGTACCAATTATTTCTATTTTTTTTTTTTTTTTTTTTTTTTTTTATTAAAAGTTTTATAAATTTTACAGAAAAAACAAAAACAATACAAAACAAAGAACAACATATACAAAAAAGAAAAATTAAACAATACATATATAAAAAAAAACCCCATCCCAAACCCCTCCCCAAAACCCTCCCTTCCCCCCTCTGAGCTTCCCAGAGCAGAATATAGGCTTAAAAAAATAAAGATAAGAATTAAAATAAAAACTTTATATTTATATATATAAAAAAGATGTCTATAATATATATGAAAATAAAACTTATGAAAAAGCTATATGATATTTTTGTATACACAATCTAAATTGTATAAATTTTATCCATTTATCCCAAATAGCAAGAAACTTCTCTTGCGTTTGTTGCTTTAAGAAAGCCGAAATCTTTGCCATTTCCGCCAAATAAGCTACTTTAAAAAACCATTCCTGCAATGTAGGCACAGATTCCTTCTTCCAATATTGTCCAACTAACAGCCTCGCGGCTGTGATCAAGTTTAACATCAATACAACCTCCTTTGTATCACAATCTGTAACAATACCTAACAAACATAATTGCGGAGTGAATTTTACCCTCCTTCTAAAAATTCTCTGGATATTCCACCATATTTTGATCCAAAATGCTTTTATCTCTCTGCATGACCACCAAATATGATAATAAGAAGCCTCCTTATAACCACATCTCCAGCATTTGGGTTGTACGTCAGGGTACATATAAGACATTTTTTGTGGATCAAGGTGCCATCTATAAAACATTTTATAAAAATTCTCCCTTAAATTTTGTGCTTGAGTAAATTTGACATTTCTCACCCAAATAGTTTCCCAGGTGTCCAATAAGACTGGCTCACCAAAATTCTGCGCCCATCTAATCATACAATCTTTAATTAGTTCCGTTTCTGAGTCCAATTCAACTAAAACCCCATAAATTCTCTTAATGTGGTTTTGTCTTTGATCCTTCAGTTGCTTAATAAGATTTTCATCTTCTCTAAGAAAACCCACCTTACAATCCATCTTCCATCTATCTAGTAGTTGCCTATATTGGAACCAAGAATAAATAAAATTTTCTTGTGTTAATTCTTCCCGTGATTTTAATTGCCAGTTTTGTCCATCCCATTTAAGTAACTGTCTATAAGACACCATATCCATTTTAACCCCTCTTTTTATTCCTTCTATCGCATGCCAAGGTATAGCCCATAATGGTACTTTAAAATCACTTTTATAATATTTTCTCCAAATCCTAAGTAAAGAAATTCTTAAAATATGAGATTTAAAAGCCCAGTCTATTTTTTTATTAAATATTAAATAGGCATGCCACCCATAAAGTAAATCCCATCCCTCTAAATAAAGTATCTCAGAGTTTGTCAAATTTACCCAATCACTAATTAATGTTAAAACCACCGCATCATAATATAATTTCAAATTTGGTACCTTGAGTCCACCCCTCTCACGAAAATCTTGCATAATTTTGAACTTAACCCTTGGTTTTTTTCCTGCCCAAATAAATTTATTGAGACCCTTCTGCCATTCATTTAAATTAATCTCATTTTTCAAAATTGGTAACATTTGAAACAAAAAAAGAAACTTAGGTCGAATATTCATTTTTATCACTGCAATTCTTCCCATAAGGGATAATTGCAGCTTTTCCCAGTTCTTCAAGTCCTTCTGTATCCTGACCCACAACCTTTCATAATTATTTTTAAATAATTTTGCATTAGAAACAGACAGCATCACCCCCAAATATTTGACCTTATTAACAATCTCAAAGCCCGTCAAGTTAACCAAAATCTGCTTCTCCTGACTCGACATATTTTTAGGTAAAATTTTAGTCTTATTTACATTAATCTTAAAACCCGAGACCAAACCATAATGGTGAATCAACTCTAATAAGTTTACTACAGAATAGTCAGGTTGCGACAAAGTAACAACCAAGTCATCCGCAAAAGCTCTCAACTTATATTCTTTTTTATTAACATATATTCCTCTAATTTCCTGAGACTCTCGAATTTTGATCAATAATATTTCTAATGTTAAAACAAACAACAATGGCGATAAAGGACACCCCTGTCTAGTACCTTTCTCTATTGTCCAATTATTTCTATTTTGATATCTAGAGGCTATAGAAAGGAAAATCTGAAAAAAAAAATGTATTACAATTCAAAGTAAAAATATTAATCCATCACATACAGCTCTAGAATCTTTTTAAAATGAAGAACCTATTGTTTTTAATTAATTTAAAAAGCAGGTATCAAGAGTCATAATTTCCTACAGACTAATCATGTCCTATTATTTAATGATACATCCAAGGTCCCTTCAAACTCTGTTATTCCGTTGTTCTGTTAACAGCATAGGAGTGGCATAGAGAAAAACCTTGTTACAATTCTGGGTATCTCCTGTTAAAAAGATCAGATGGCATAGGTTACAGAAATCCACTGCCAACCACCAGGCATAGCAGAGATGGAGAACAAAATCTAGTCCTGCAGGTGGATCAGATCTGCACCAGTTTAGGAGTTGAGTAATGTCAAGGAATGGCACTTAAGATAAGAGAGGCCCAAACCTTATTCAAAACTCCATCCTCTGATATTGTTTGTAAAGGGCAGTCACAAGTGGATTGATGAGATACTTCAAATCAGAAAGTGCAGACAACTCAAACTTGCAGGTTCATTAGCCAAAGTCTCAGTAATTGTCATTCGGGTAAGCTCACTCCATTGACGTGTTCTGCCTTAGTAGAAGACACAGCAGCAGAATCAAGCTTCCAGATTCTGCTGCTTAGCCCTTAAAAGCACAAACCTGGCTTAAGAGGAAATGAATTGAGGCTGGGCTTGGAGACAAGACACAGCCCTGCTTGAGAGTAGAGATTGCCTAGCTGAATTTTCCTCTCTGCAATGTGAATTTGCATAGGATTAATGTTTCATATTATACCATCCGTCTTTTTCCCCTTCTCACTTCATTTCAATTCACAGGTGCCATATTTACTCCTACTCTCTAAGCCAGTGGTACCCTTTTCAAATCGTTGAATAGTGCCTCTCTTAAGTTTCCTGTGCTAATGGGCTATTATGTATATATATGTTGTATTGCCTTCATTTTTCTGCAAACAAGTATAGATGGTTTGCAACACAGAGAAAGTTGTGTATTATAGACTGTACTATGAAAATCTGCCACAAGAAATTAATTCCAAGCAAAGTATATGCCAATTATTGTTTAAATATAATGGATCTGACCCAATCACAGTAACATTTTTATTACAGTTCTCCTTTCACTGTTGATTCTAGTTTGCATCTGACTAAAATAATTTTATCCTGGTAAACACTTAAGTCATCTTTCTCATAAAGTTACAGGTGACATTCTTAATGGTATATTTAGAAAACATATTTGCTTCAAAAATTAACAGAAACACAACTAATGAGTTTCAAGAAGGATTAAATAATCACAATAAAGTACAAGCAGTTTGGCATTTGACAAAACTATGGCAACAAAACTATGCAACCCCAACTCTGGATAAATGATACAGTATTTATTATTCAACAGGAAATAATTTCATTTGATCCCAAAGCTTGCTTTCACTAGCATAAATCAGGACCTATTCAACCACATTGCTGAAGAATCTGTAATTATAGTATGGTTTTTACAGCTGAAAACCAAGACAAGAATTAAACTTTTTGGTACATTTGTTTACCTTCTTTTATAAATTCAACAGCATACTTTTCTCTTTAATAATATTGCCTTTGTTTCAGCATGATAAAGGCACTCGGCACAGTACAGCAATTGTCAAGTTCAGAATGGCTCTGTGTAATTCCCTCCAGCTGAATGAACCAACAAGTGACTTAGGAAGTTATGAGGAAATCCAAATGAAGTAATTTTTCCAGGTTGCCCTATTTCTGCACAGTATAATAAAGGTAAACATAAAAATGATATCATTTAATCTCTGCTATTCACCTTTCCAATGACCTTTAAAAAAATAACCTGCAGCCAGATTGGTGTTTTTTTTTTTTTAAAAAAAGCACATGAGTAATGCAGGCAGGATAATATTACATCCTTACCCACCAGCTAAACACCTTTAATGCATTAATCTTTCTAGAAATAAAAATAAATGTAGTTGGACAGTAATACGTCAAGGACAAAATTAACATTTTGCTATGATTAGATGAAATATGCATATACAATTTTGAATCATATTTAGGTATAATTATGAAGTGTGTGTTTGTGTGTGTGAGAGAGAGAGAGGGAGAGGGAGAGGGAGAGGGAGAGGGAGAGGGAGAGAAAGAGAGAGAGAGAGAGAGAGAGAGAGAGAGAGAGAGAGAGAGAGAGAGAGAGAGAGAGAGAGAGAGAGAGAGAGAGAATTTAGTAAAGAAAAAAAATGGGTGTCCGGAGTTCTGAAATATACTGTATCTATTATCATAAACTCAGCATTAGTGGCAATAGTAAAAATTGCCCTGTTATATTATAGGCTGGATTTCTTATTTGAAAAAGTTGCTGGTAGCCAAGGTTAATGATCCAATTAGCATCATTTGTTGATTATCTACTTATATCAAAGATCAGCAGTCGTTTAACAAGATGAACACAATAACTTGATTCATACTAGAGTGAAAAGATAAAGTTTGTGAACTTATTACAGCTATTCATATTCCTACAACACTGTAACTTACTATGTGATAGGAACTTCATCTAAGTCCTAATAATAAAGAAATTAAACAATACAAAAACTATGTCATAGCTGTATCGAACATTCTGAGCCAAGATTCACAATCATTGCTGGAAAAGGTAACACTGGAAATTGATATAACCTACTTTAGCAGCTATGACTTCAGCCAAATGTTTCCCATACTGTACCTTTTGATCAAACCTATATATCAGTGTAGAGGTACTTTAGCCCATTCCTCTTTGTGATATCTCTCAACTCATTGTTGTTATGGGGCTGTCTTGTATGAATTGCTCACTTTGGGTCATGCCATAATATTTTGATTAGATTAAGTCCCATTTGGACTATTGCAATGCACTCTACACAAGGCTACACTTGAAAAATATCCAGCAGCTTCAGCTGATTCAAAACGTGGCCAAGGGGAAATTCTAGGTGTTCAAAGAAAGGTGCATGCAATGCCTCTGTTCTGTGAATTACATTGGGTGCCAGTTTGCTTCTAGGTCCAGTTCAAGATGTTGGTTGTGACTTTTATGTCCTACATGGCATGGGCCAGGCTAGCTACAAAACATCTTTGTCCCATTACATCATCCCATCTCACCCGGTCAGGCAGGGAAGGTATATTGCAGATCTTTTCGGTTCAAGAACTGTGATTGGCAGGGTTTAGAAATACAGCATTCTCTACTATTGGCCCCACCCTATGAAATCTATTTCCCCTGGAGGTGAAATAGGCCCCCACTCTCCTGGCCTTTCAAAAAAGAATTAACACATGTTCTGAGGCTCAGAGAAGCATGCGGTCATAGGGCTGGTTAGTCCTCTGAAAGCTCTCCCTTCACCTTTTAACTAATTTTAATAGCATTTAATCACTCTTGCCTCTTTCCGATTTTTAACTTTTATATTTTAACATTTTACTGTACATTGCCCAGATCCCTCTAAGGTAGATGCATGGTTCAGAAATAAAATAAAATAAAGTAAAATAAAATAAAATAAAATAAAATAAAATGAAATGAAATAATAAAATAAATAAAATAATAAAAATAAAATAAATAATAAAATAAAATGATAAAATATAATAAAATAATAAAATAAAATAATTGTCTTAGCTATACCATATTGTTAGTACCCTGAAGTAACAGACTATGGTAGAAGAATTTTAGAGATTTATATGGACACTTTGAAAAGCACAATTAAAATGAATGCTATAATTATTACTACTGTATACATGAAAAAAAATGGAAAATGAGTTTATAATGCTATAAGAATGTGGAAAAATGGTAAAGTTGCAGGATGGCATAACAGAGAAATTATTTAAAAAATTGATGAAGTTAACATAACATGGCTGTGCAACGACAATATGTGCATCTACGTATGATAAATGGAAGAATGCTGTTATTGTTTCCCTATAAAAAGGGAAAGTAGAAAGAGTGAAGGCAAAAACCACAGAGGGGTTTGTTTGTTAATGTGCCTGGGAACATAAATGGCAGAATTTGATTCAGAGAATATAATAGAAAAGAAAAAAATTGAGAAGAGCACAAAGTCAGAAGTATTGTAGCGGTTAGGTCACAGGTCGGCAACCTGCGGCTCCGGAGCCGCATGCGGCTCTTTGAGCCTTCCCCTGTGGCTCCCAGCCTCCTCTGCCTTTGCAGAGAGAGACAGAGACAGAGAGAGGCAATTGCACTTCCCTGCTTCTCTCTCTCTCTCTCTCTCTCTCTGTGTGTGTCTGGGTGTGTGTGTGTGTGTTTTGTGTGTGTGTGTGTGTAAAAGAGAGTGCACTCACAGTGTTCTCCGAGGAGCTGAAAAGCTTTCTGGGCGGAGCTCCTCCCTTTGCTGCGTCTCTGAAGGAAGCAGGAAGCAGGAAGGGCAGGAGAGAGCTAGCTAGCCCAGCTAGGCTGACTCAGGAATTCTGGGAGTTGAAGTCCATGAGTCATAAAAGAGACGAGGTTGCCTACCCCGGAAGTTGTTGGACAACAGCTTGAAGCTTGCCAGGTGAGTAGCAGATAGGAGGGGGGGGGGAGAAAGAGAGAGAGAGAAAGAGAGAGAGAGGGAGAGAGAGAGAGTGGGGAAGAGGAGTGGCAGACCAAGGGCAGATAGAGAGGGAGGGAGAGAGAGACCCTTTTGACATCTAAAATGAAGATAACACTGCATATATCCTTTTTTTACCTGTTTGTGTATGTAATTTTATTCTCTTAAAGCATTCTCTTGGTGATCATTGTTTTAATAGTATGGATATTCCCAAGAGTCATATTTTTACTTTTATTTTTAATGTGTATATGTGTGTGTGTGTGTGTGTGTATACACACATACACATACACACACACACACACATACACCTATAATAAAGGTAAAAAAGGATATATGCAGTCTTATCTTCATTTTAGATATCAAAAGGGTTTTGCGGCTCCCAGTGTTTTGTTTTTGGTGGGAAACGGGTCCAAGTGGCTCTTTGAGTGTTTTGGGTTGCCTACCCCTGGGTTAGGTGATCAAGGACTGGACAGATCCTGGTTCATGTCCTTTTCAGCCATGGAAACTAAGTTTATATTATTTGTTAAATTTATATGCCGCCTATCTTACTGACAAAGCAACTCTGGCTTAGTTTAGTTTAGTTTAGACTACCTATTTTCCCTCAGTAAAATCCCAATGGATTATTGTGTATATGTGTGTGCATATGTGTTTTTGTGTGTATATGTGTGTGTATCTATATATATGTTGTGTGTGTGTGTGTGTGTGTGTGTGTGTGTGTGTGTGTATGGAATGCTATGTACAATGTCTACGCAGCATACAAATATAAGCACAAATTACAAAATTCAAGTGTAGAAAACAATTGTGAAACCTTATTTCCAGCACTGAAGACTTAGAAAGCCAAGTTCCTATGCCTTGTTTTGTCAACTATCATAGCATAAAAACTTGTCCTGAGTAGGATTCTAACTCTGAAATAAGCTCTTACTTCTAAAGAGAACTTAATCTTTAGGCATGCCCAAACCTGCAGATATGCAGGTTACTAGCACTTGGAGTGCCTTCTATCTTTCCTTCTTAGTCAAGTGAAAATCCCTTTTTCTCATGATTCTCCAGATCTGGACCTATGCTTCCCAAGTTTCTCTGCTCTCTGCATTTCTTTCTCATCCTCTGACAATACTTTTCAAGAGGAGGCATAACGTCAGGACACAGAAGTCATAATAAACTAATTGTAAACTATTAATCCATTTGTCACTTTCAGCCTTCTTTCAAGTTGAAAAGTTAGATGAAAATTAACCCTCTATTCAAATCCTGTAAAAATTATCTTCTGACCTTTGAAAAGCATGAAATTCTCTTAGCAAAACATGCTAATTTTTGTTTATAAATTACAAACATCAATGCAATGAATGTTGCCAGGAAAATCCATGGCAATGTTGAATATATCATTTTGGATTAAAAAAAAATGAGCATAGTCTCTCCAAAAATAGGCCATAACAAGCAGTCACGCTTGCACAATACAAAATGAACAAAATTGATTTCATGTAGTACAATCATAAGAGCATTAATCATATCAAATATTTCCTCAAAAGCTTGGCAAAAAATTGATAGGGATTTCTCTGTCTAAATCTGAGCTACATATTGAGTTATAAACAAGTAATCAGAAGTTAGTAAACACAGCCTAATTCATAGGCAAAAATGAACAAAATGCATGTGTACGCATGTATTTGGGTGTGCAGCATTAATGTTACTTTAAAAGCAGCACATAAACTCTCAAAACTTAATGAGATTCTTAATAATAAGAATATTAATAATGTCACATTAACAAAGCATTAATCAGAAGTTATAAAATATGAAATTTGCCTATGAGGTTGAGTTTTTGTTTATTTGATCTGAATGATAATAACATCAGAAAAAGTCACTTCAGAATGAGATGCTCCAGAAAAAGTGATAAATTTTCCTGTTTCTTCAAGCCCACTGTATTACTTTATTTGGTCACAGATTATCAATTTATGCAAATGTACATGCTTTTCAGAATTAGAAAAATATTAATGCTAGAGCTTTGAGAAAGAAAAGCAAGGAAAAAACACTTCAAAGCAGGATTAATAGCACATACAGAAACCACAGTTCTTGCTTTAATTAGAAAAAAAATTCCACAGCTCAAACATTAGTAGCATAACATTTGTAGCAATACAATACTACCCTCCAGCCAAAGTTCTGGAGATGTTATGCTTTATGTTGCATCTTATTTCTACATTTTAAAAAACATTTTCACTGTCACACAATGAAACTCCCAAACTGTCATGATTACAAATAGGAAAGTTTTCAGGCAGCATAAATGTTTTCCACATAAAAAAGGAGTTAAACAAAACATATTATCACTCTATATAAAATGAAATGTCTCTTGTGATTTTTGACAATGACTTATTCCAACTCTCCTTCCTAAATTTAAGTCATATTATAAAAATACATTAAGGTAAACATGTCTTAACAGACATTAAAAGCCTCAGTTCAATAAATAATGCATTTAAAATTATTTCTATTATTAATATATATGTTAATGAAATCTGAATAAAGTGCTACTGGATATACATAGCCTGTTACCATTTAATAATTATTTCCATTTTTAATTGTTCATGCCAAGTAATTGATAAAAAGAAAACTCCATAAACTCAAAAGACAAAAGGAAGTATATCACATTAAAACAAATACTTTTTGTAAAGTTTCAGAAGAGAAAAGGTAAGAGCTGCATTAACTTCAATGATCTGGTTCTTTTTAGTACAGAAGACTGCAAGTCAGGCTACTTTAATGAATAGCAAGGAGATATATGAAATCCAAAGAACTTCCCAATAGCGCTTAGCAGTCGTACTTAAGACTGATATACTGCTTCACAGTGCTTTACAGCTCTCTCTAAGTGGTTTACAGAGTCAGCATATTGCCCCCAACAATCTGGGTTCCCATTTTACCGACCTTGGAAGGATAGAAGAATGAGTCAACCTTGAGCCAGTGAGACTTGAACTGCTAAACTGCTGCTGACAGTTGGCAGTCAGCAGAATTAGCTTGCAATACTGCATTATAATCACTGTGCCAGTGCAATGCTGCACTTTCAATCGCTTTCAAAGGAAAGGTAGGATATTTATTTCCACCAGAATACCTAAGATTTCACTAGATATCAAAGCATCCCTATTAGTCTCTCGTTCTTCATGCAAGTATGCTTTTGTACTATATAATCCCCATGGAAAATGTTATTGCATTATTTTAAATGAATGAGCTAGGCCCTCTTTGGCTTTAAATAATGCATTATTATTAAGTACGCAAAACTGTGAAATCACAACTGGCAGTTCTTTAGCTGATGTTGGCCTTCATTCACATCAACTTGTTCCAGAGAACCTAAGATGTTATAATGTATCAGCGAATCCAAGGAGATTTGTAACTGACACAGAAATTTTGTCAATGTGCAGATTTTCTGAGTGCTGTCCAAGATTTTTTGGTATGGAACCCACTGTGTTGATAATCATTGGGACCACCATAGTTAGTTTATGCCATAGTCCTTCAACTTATGTTTTCAAAACTTCATACTTTATGATCCTCTCCAATTCTTCATCTTCTGTATTTCCTGGTATTGCCAACATCAATTTCCACACTTTCTTCTTTTCAAGCAGTTAAATCTGGTACATTATGAGCCAAGATTTTATCAGTTTGTATTCGGAAATCCCACAATATTTTAACCTGCTCATTTTTATTACCTTTTCAACTCTATGTTTCCACCAATTTTTCATTATTGGCACATGATAATTTTTGCAGATGTTTTGAATTTGGCATTTTTATCCACCTAGCGAGTCTTTTCCATGGACCTGGGATAGGTAGATATTGTTTGATGGTGTTAAAAGGTATTGTTGTAGAATGTAACTGTTTCCAGTAAAAGCTGCCTTTTGCAAATGGCTGATGGTGATTTTATCAATGCCAATTATTCATTCATTCATTTTCATTCATTCATTCATTAGATTTCTATATCTCCAACCTCAATAAATGACTCACAATTCAAAACATATACTTAAAATTTAAAAAACAATTTAAAACAATAAAAGCAATAAAACAGTAAAAAAGCATTAAAATAAAAAATATTAAAACATCTAATTTGAAGTACATACAAAAGCAAGATACCTGGCCAATTAACAATATAGTCAGGAGGCAGGGCCCTTAGCACATGTAGCGCCCCATTGAAATGGTGCTCCAGATATTTTCGTATCTTCTATTACTATTGTTACTATCCTTGGTTTCTTTTATCACAGTTATTCTATTTCTATTTGCAGTTCTTTTATTTTGTGATTTATTTTGTGATTTTCTCCAGTTCTTTCTCTTCTCTTCTACTGTCTCCAGATATTGAAATATCCGACTTTTTCATATTTTTTAACAGTTGCTAAATCTGAGTGTTATGTAGCAGGTGCTTGTCTACTTGAAGACTTCTAAAGTCCACCTGTCTAGCCTAGACGAGTTCAAATCGCCAGGACCAAATGGATTACACCCCAAGGTTCTCAAGTAACTGGCAGATGTGATTTCAGAATCACTGAACTATATTTTTCAAAGATCCTGGAGCACAGGGGAACTACCAGAGGACTGGAAAAGAGCTGACGTAGTTCCCATCTTCAAAAAAAGGGGGAAAAATGGATCCAGGAAATTACAGACCTATCATTCTGATCTCAATACCTGGGAAGATCCTGGAAAAGATAATCAAACAAAGAATCATCAACAACACCTAGAGGCAAACAAAGTCATTACTAAAAGCCAACATGGGTTTGTCAAAAATAGATCATGCCAGACAAATCTTATTGCATTCTTTGACCAAGTGACAAAATTAGTGGATCAGAGGAATGCTGTGGACATAATTTACTTGGACTTCAGTAAGGCATTTGATAAAGTAGATCACAACCTACTACTTGACAAGATAGAAAAATGTGGGGTAGACAGAATCACCACCAGATGGATCCGTAGCTGGCTGACCGGCCGTACTCAGCGAGTGGTCCTCAATGGAACTGCATCTATATGGAGGGAAGTGTGTAGTGGGATGCCCCAGGGCTCTGTTCTGGGCCCAGTGCTCTTCAACATCTTCATCAACGATTTGGACGAGGGGATAGATGGGGAACTCATCAAATTTGCAGATGACACCAAGCTGGCAGGAATAGCCAACACTCCAGAAGACAGGCTTAAGATACAGGAGGATCTGGACAGACTTGAACACTGGGCGCTATCTAACAAAATGAAATTCAATGGTGAAAAAAGCAAGGTTCTACATTTAGGCAAGAAAAACCAAATGCACAGATATAGTATAGGGGGTACCTTGCTCAATAATAGTAACTGTGAGAGGGATCTCGGAGTCCTAGTGGACAATCACCTAAATATGAGCCAGCAGTGTGCTGCAGCTGCCAAAAAAGCCAACACAGTGCTAGGCTGCATTAACAGAGGGATAGAATCAAGATCACGTGAAGTATTAATACCACTCTACAATGCCTTGGTAAGGCCGCACTTGGAATACTGCATCCAGTTTTGGTCACCGCGATGTAAAAAAGATGTTGAGACTCTAGAAAGAGTACAGAGAAGAGCAACAAAGATGATTAGGGGACTGGAAGCTAAAACATAAGGAACGGTTGCTGGAATTAGGTATGTCTAGTTTAATGAAGAGAAGGACGAGGGGTTACATGATAGTTGTGTTCCAATATCTCAGGGGCTGCCCCAAAGAAGAGGGTGTCAAGCTATTTTCCAAGGTGCCTGAAGGCAGGACAAGAAGCAACGGGTGGAAACTAATCAAGGAGAGAAGCAACCTAGAACTAAGGAGAAACTTCCTGACAGTTAGAACAATTAATCAATGGAACAACCTGCCTCCAGAAGCGGTGAATGCTCCAACACTGGAAGTTTTTAAGAAGAGACTGGACAGCCATTTGTCCAAAATGTTATAAGGCCTCTGGCGAACTTGTGGGACGGATGCCAGAGGCGGCACTCAGAGCGCTCTCTGTGGGCACATGTGCCATTGCCCCAGTCCTAGGCCTTCATCTGGGTTGTAATAAAACCTTTTTGCTTTATGCCTTTGCTGCCATGTGCAAAAAAAAAAAAAAGGTTCAATCAATCAGTCAATTTCAACTTCTTGCAGGAAAAAAAAGATCTTGCAAAGTTAGAATTGATTGATTGAACTTTTTAGTCCCAACCAGTCTGCTGTTACCATCACAGCCACACCCATCCAATGGGCCACACCCAGCCAATGGGCCACACCCACCTGGCACCTGACGATGCATAAGTGGGTTTTGGGTTGCAGTTTGAGCACTCGGTCTCTAAAAGGTTCACCATCACTGTTATAGGGTTTCCTGCCTAAGCAGGGGGTTGGACTAGATGACCTCCAAGGTCCCTTCCAACATCATCATCATCATCATCATTATTATGATGTCTTCTACTTTAGAAGACCCAGAGCACTTTAACTTCTTCATTTTCTATTACTCTGTCTATTTTGTGGTCTCACCAGTTCTTGCTTGCAAGCAATGGCATTTTTTGCAGATATTACAAAAGCATCACTGTTGCTACTTTGGCATACCATTGTTCATATTCCATCTGTGTGATCTTCTTGCAGCAGATAATTAAAAAAGAGCGTTGTCTTACCTGAACGCTTTTTCTCAGCAGGATGGTGTAGACTCCACTGATTGGGTAATTTAATCCCACCTGCTCAGACTAAGACAAAAAAACTCTGCCACGCCTCCTTCTAGGTGTGACTTCCCAGTTTTTGTCGAGGCGAAGCTACCAGACGCAAGGCTCCAAACAAACAAGGAAGACACAGGCCTAGACTAACACTAACAGGGTGGGTGTGGAGTCTACACCATCCTGCTGAGAAAAAGCGTTCAGGTAAGACAACGCTCTTTTCTCCATCAGGATGGATGTAGACTCCACTGATTGGGACATACCAAAGCTGCTCATGTCCCTATAGGGAGGGAGTCTAGGCTTGTGACCCCTGAGAACCCACTATTTGCTGTAGGACTCTCCTACCGAAAGCAGCCTCAGCTGCTGCAAATTGATCTATCCTATAATGTTTTATGAATGAGGAAGGAGAGGACCATGTCGCAGCCCTGCAAATCTCCTCGAGTGATGCCTGGGTAGACCAAGCCGCTGAGACAGCAGCACTACGTGTAGAGTGAGCAGTAATATGTGAAGGTACCGGAAGGGACTGGGAAATATAAGCCCTGGAAATACACATCCTTATCCACCGCCCAATGGTGGAAGAAGAGACCTTCCGACCCATAGTTGAGGGTTGAAAGGACACGAATAATGCCTCGGACTTCCTGAAGGTCGAGGTTCGTTTAATGTAATGGCGCAGAGCCCTGCGCACATCCAACATATGCCACCGTCTCTCCAGATGATGGGAAGGGTTAGGACAGAAGTTAGGAAGGACTAGTTCCTGCGAGCGGTGAAACCCTGTATTGATCTTTGGAACAAATGCAGGATCCAACCTGAGGACCACTCTATCCTCATGGAACATGCACAAGTCCTCCCTGACCGACAGGGCCGCCAATTCTGAAATCCTCCTGGCCGACGTGATGGCCACTAGGAAGGCTACCTTCAATGTAAGGAAGTGAAGGGAGCAAACTTTCAGAGGTTCAAATGGAGAGGACGTTAAAGCCTGTAACACCTTAGAGAGGTCCCAGGATGGATAACGATGAACTGTGGGGGGCCCTACATTGGCCGCACCCTTGAGAAAGGCACTGACTGCTGGGTGTTGGGAGAGGGAAACCTGGTTGTCACAGGTGAGAACTGTCGACAAGGCTGCTATCTGCCTACATATGGTGCTGGTTGACAGACCTCTAGTTAACCCCTCAAGTAAGTAATCTAATATGTCTGGGATGGAGACAGCAAGCGGTGAAAGCCGCTTTTTGGTACACCAAGAGCAAAAACTTCTCCAAGTGGCGTCATAGATTCTGTTGGTCGAGGGACGCCTCGAGGCCTGGATGACGGAAATAACCCCAGAGGAGAAAGACTGTTTGGTCAGACTCTCCCGCTCAAGTGCCAAGCGGCTAATTGGAGCCACTGTGGATCCGGATGTTGGAGGTTCCCCTGGCTGAGAGCTACTCGGTCCGGGGGAATCTTCCATGGAGGTGAAATTGACAGGTCCACCAGGTCGGCAAACCACGGGCGTCTTGGCCAAAATGGAGCCACTAAGATTAGCTCTGCCTGTTCCTGGATGAGCTTGCGAATGGTCGCTTGTATTAGTGGAAGAGGAGGGAATGCATAAAGTACGCCCTCCGGCCATCTGCTCCGGAGGGCGTCCGTTCCCTCCGCCCCCCTCGCCGGAAACCTGGTAAAAAATCTGGGGAGCTGTGCATTGATCGGAGAGGCAAAGAGATCTAGAATGGGCTGTCTGAACCTGCGTGATATTTCCTGGAATAGGATTGAGTCTAGCTTCCACTCTGAGTGATCCACTGTGACCCTGCTCAGGGAGTCTGCCTGTTGATTCGCCTCCCCCGATATGTGCTCTGCCCTGATGGACCTCAGGTTGGACTCTGCCCACAGCCCTATGGCCTGGGCTTCCTGCATGAGTGCCAAGAGTGGGTGCCCCCTTGTTTGTTTACGTGAGCTTTGGCCGCAATGTTGTCTGTCAGGATTAATACGTGTTTCCCTGATACCAGGGGGGAGAATCTTTGGAGAGCCAGGTGGATGGCCCTGAGCTCCAGCCAATTTATATTGTGAGCCAGGTCTGAACTGGACCACTGACCCTGGGCTAAGTGGTTCAGAATATGACCGCCCCAACCGAACAGACTGGCGTCTGTGGTGAGGGTGATCCTGGTGGGTTCCTTGAACAGAGTGCCCTTGGACAAGGCGGACGAGGTCCACCATAGGAGGGAGGACAGAGTGTGATGGGGAACCCTGACCTTCCTGTTGGAGGCGCTGATGTTGCGTTTCTGAAAAGGAAGAAGGAACCACTGGAGGTTCCTGGAGTGCAGTCTGGCCCAAGGAACGATGCCCAGGCAAGAGACCATCTTCCCCAGGAGTTGGGATAATTGTACCAGGGGTACTCTTTTTTCCCCTCGGATCTGCAGTGTCAGCT